CGGAATCAGCACGGGCAGCGAGAGGCATCGAAGGCGGGCGAAGGGCAGCGAGCGGCGACTGCAGTCCCTAACGGGCTGGTCGGGCGGGCAGGGCCAGACGGGCGGGTCGAGCGGGCGCGGGTCGTTGAAGCGTAAATTCTGCTTGAACCGCCAGGCAATCTGTAGCGGGAGCGCGGTTCCTGAGTGTCGAGGAGCGGCATCTGAATTAGCTGTAAGGAAATATCGAATGGGAGCCGCGATCCGGTGGTAAGTTGCCAGGAAGTCCCAAGCGAGAGCGCGATTCTTTAATACATTGTGAAGAAATATCAAGCGGGAGCCGCGTCCCGGTGGTAAATTGCAAGGAAGTCCGAAGCGAGAGCGCGATTCTTCAATAAACTGTGAGGAGGTATCAGGCGGGAGCCGCTGTTGTTGCAAACCGGGGGCCAACAACGCAGTTTGACCTTCAAGACTTCCCCTGATAAAAAAACAAGGTGCGAGCCCCGGGAGGTGCACCGGACGGGGGGGATTAACAATAATTGTTCTTCAGAAGTGAGAGCTCAACGACAACAATAATCATTTTATAAAACTGTTCGCTCTTATCTGCTCGCGTGCCAGTCATCACGCACATCCCAAACCATTGATATCCGCCCTCTTTGTCTTCGATCGTACCACCATTAGGGGCAGATCCTTCTTACCTGCAACGTGTATTTAGTCAGGGGGAGGACGGATAGAAGGAACGAACAAGGGGAGGGAGGAGAATGGAACACGATAGAAAGTAGCAGAAGGGGGGTAGGAGCAGAAAACACGTGGCAGAACCACACGGGCACATCGGACGAGTAGACCCTAAGGGGCGGGTCGGGAAGGCGGGCCCAGGCGGCCAGGTCGAGCAGGCTGGTTGCTGAAGCGTGCATTCTGCATGAATCACGAGAAAGTATTGAGCGATAGCGCGATTCCCAAATACATCATCAGAGAATCCACAAGGAGAGACTGATTCCTGAGTGTCGAGGGCGCGGCGTCTGAATAAAGTGTGACGAAGTCCCAGGCGATAGCGCCATTTCCGCATAAAGTGCAAGGAAGTCCCGCGCGAGAGCGGGATGTTTCAATAACTTGTGAGGAAGTATCCGGCGGGACCAATTGTTGAATTGTTGTTGCTGTCATTGCAAGCCGGAGGCCGGGGGCGCAGTTTGACGGCACCTCGCTTCCACTTGTAAACAAAAAAAGTGCGAGCCCCGCGAGAAGCAGTCCAATTGAAAAATATAGGTTATCTGGCAGGGAAATCAACAAGACTTACCCTTAAGAAAACTCAACAACCAAAACAACAACAACAACCGCATGATCAACAACAATAACAACAACAGCAACAAAACAACGACAACAACAGCAACAACAGCAACTGCAACAAGACTGCTCGCTCTTATCTGCCCGCATGCCATTCATCGCGTATACCCCAAGCCCTCGATACCCGCCCCCTTCGTCTTTGATCGGACCGCCTTTGTTTTACATGCAACGTGTATTTCGTGCAGCCCCAAAGGCAAGGGAAGAGAGGACGGATGGAAGGAAGGGACAAGGGGGGAGGGACGAGAATGGAGTAGGAGAGGGAATAGCAGGAGGGGGGTAGAAGCAGAAAACACGTGGCAAAACCAGACGGGCAGATCGGGCGGGTAGACCCACCCTAAGGGGCGGGTCGGGAAAGCGGGCCCAGGCGGCCAGGTCGAGCAGGCGGGTTGCTGAAGCGTGCGTCCTGCATGAATCGCGAGTAAAGTCTCGAGCGATAGCGCGATTCCCAAATAAGAATAAAAATCCGGGAACTCACATCGAGAAACTGATTCCTGAGTGTCGAGGGCGCGGCGTCTGAATAAGCTGCAAGCAAGTCCCACGCGAGAGTGCGCTTCCCCCATAAATTGCAAGGGGGTCCGGCGCAAGAGCGCGAATTTTCAATAACTTCTGATAGAATATCAGGCGGGAGCCGTTGTTCTTGTAACTCGGGGGCCAGGAGCCCAGTCTCACCTGCCTTTGAAAAAGTGCAAGCCCCGAGAAGGCCGCTTTTTTGTTTTAAGAGTGTGCCCAGAGAGGGAGGGGATCAACTACAGTTATTATTCCGACATAAACCTTCAATTGCTGCTGTTACTACTACGACTACTACAACTACAACTACAACTACTACTACAACTACTACTACTACTACTACTACTACTACTACTACTACGACTACTGCTACTACGACTACTACTACTACTACTACTACTCCTACTCCTACTCCTACTACTACTACTACTACTACTATTACTACTATTACTACTACTACTACTACTACAAATACTACTACTACTACTACTACTACTACTACTACGACGACGACGACGACGACGACGACGACGACGACTACTAGTACTACTTCTACGACTACTTACTACTACTACTACTACTACTACTACTACTACTACTACTACTACTACTACTACTACTACTACTACTACTACTACTACTACTACTACTACTACTACTACTACTACTACTACTA